TTTTTCTAGCCAGTTTACATAGATTATACACTATCATGTATATGTTCTAATATATGTCAACTATTTTTAAGTGGAAAATTGAATATAATGACAAACTATTAATTCAAATTAAGTGGTATAATCACACTTTTATTTAATTGTGGCCTGTAACAAACTATTTATCAGTCATCTCTTTCCCTCAAACTCTCGCTCGTTCCCTCTCTCGATTTAATACAATCAAAAATGTATAAATTGTGTTTCTGTTTATATAAAGCGAGAGAAAATTGTATATACACATGCAAATACATATATCTTCGTCTTATACACTTATAATTATACAATACAAATATTCCCATGTACAGTTCTGTTTTGCCTTTTGCTCTTCTCACTTTATACAAATATAAATTATACAAAATACAATGTATAACTTATGAATGTACAAAGCGTGAGAAAGAGCGATATTTGATTTACAAACGTTTTATTTCGATTCAATTGATAAATCAAATTTTATACAGATATACAAACACATGAAAATGAATTGAGAGGATGAAAACGATTTATACAAACGATAGAATGGAAGTCATTTATAAAAATGATCTACCAGCGATATTATACTGATAGAGGAGCCAGCGAATTATAAAATTGTTTTTGTTGTATATATGTTTAGCGAAATAGCCTAGTCATAACATGAGCGCAATCATGCAAATTTTACTATAACATACAAATATAAGTTTTGTGTTTGCTAAACGTGAAAGTTATTTTTTAAAATTTAATCAGTTTAATAAACTGTTGATTAAGTTAATTCTCCTTTATTTATTTTAGCAATGTTGTGCCGAATCAAGGTGAATAGTAGAACTTTTCACCACAGATCATGAATTCAAATTCTGAAAATAAAAAAATTAAGATATCGAATATTATATTTTTAATAAATTTTACTTAAACGATATAAATTTAAATTAATCGAAATATCAAAATGCACTTTGGTTTCCAACTATAAATTGTCAGAAAGTAAAGAATGCATTGACATTTAGATAAGAAAAAGATAAATGGACAATAATTAACATATATCTCCGCATTCAACGCTACCTAATTTCATCAATCTGTCTTACATTATTATAATATAAGGTTCAAAAATAATATCAAGAAAGTGAAAATAAGAAACCTTTTTTCAAGAAAAAAACAAATAATTCCTATTTTTTAGGATTAAAAAAAGTTTTTTTTTTTGAAAAATAAAATTCATGTTTTTTTTTGTTGTACAAAGATTGGTGTCCCTTTTTTTAAAACTAAGACGTCGATTCAAAAAAAAATCGCACCTTAAAAAATATATAACATAAATAATTTCTTTTTTGATATAAATATTATTTATTGTGTTTTATGATTTTGACTAATAACATATAAATCATACACGAGATATTTTTGTTATTGCTTTATTCCTTTTAGTTATTGGAATATATTGCACATATATATATTTATTGAAATTCGAATGATTATTTGTAGATAAGACGAAAGCTATATATTTATTGAAGGATAATAGTTGAACGTCTTTCATTGAAAAAATCAAGTTCAATTCAATTTTTAATTTTCGAATTGAAGAAATTACTATCCAAATCTGATGAAAATCGGATTGGATTGAATTTTCAAGTTTGATTCGAAATTAATCGATTTGGGTATTTATTTATTTTTTAATTTTGACATATGAGTCTTTAAGACAGACCATAACTATTAACAGTCTTAATTCACCTTTTAGTTTATTCCATAAAATATATAAGTTTTTACAATTAACAAGGATTGAGGTCATCATAAAAAGATTCACGATAAAAAAGTTTATTGAATTTTCAAATTTAAACAATATCACGTAAATTAATACAATATAATATTATTTAGTGACTAGTAATATTGGTGTTGTCCAACTCACATACAAAGTTTCAAGAGAAAAGGTTAAAGAGCTTTATAAGACAATTAAGAGTTAAATATGGTATTGATTAGTCATTAGTTTACTACAATGCTCATAAGTCATAAACAAGTGAAAACAAATGGTTGCTAATCAATATAATATGGTCCCTAATTAA